GTCTCACGCACTTCCAAGGATGCATCGCCTTTCCGCACACATATCCAAACCAATATTTACCAAAGCAGTAAAACAAAAAAAACACAGGGAGACAGGCAGAAATGTCAGTTCATACAAGAGAAAAATTCAGTATGTCATATATCCGGCAACAAAATGCATTCACACTTCCATCACATTATAACTTGGGCACCCCAAACCCAAGTACAAAACAAAAAAAAACGTGTTTATTTCTATGTAATCTAAATAGTCAAAAACCTTAAGTTTTACAAAAGAAATCTTTTAAAAAGGATAAAAAGCATATAAAACCATTTTTGCTTTACAAACTATACTAGCCTCATTTTTTTTTCCTTTTTATTTCTTCTTCATTCCTGTACACCTCTAGTCGCCGCTAAATACTGGATACCTCAAATCATCAAAAAGCAACCAATACTAGCACAACAACTTCCAGTTCACAACGCCATTGAACACCTATAATCATCCTACATTCTTAAAGTATAAATGTTAACCACACAAACACCTGATATTTGTCAACAATTACATACACTCTAAAAAAACACACACACTCGTCAATGACTTTCCGTGACACACACAAAAGAAAGTCAACAAAAAAAACGAAGCCACAAAGGCAATACATACTAAAACGTCAACAACACTTCATCAGCGAAAAACTCATAAAATCGCCGAGAACGCGTAGCATTTGCTACAAGAGTTTTGTAGAGTTTAAGCTAAAAAAAAAACTACGAACAGACATCAACCCCCAAGGGTTCTAATAAAGGCAAGAATAAAAAAAAACATCCATCATCCCTCAAAAAGATTATACAGTAAAAAGCATGTATTTTCTGATTTAGTCTATAAAGGACCTCCAACGGCCACAGAACGCACACAAAAAAAAAACACGTCATGAGAGCCCGAGAACATAGAACAAAAAAACAACATTACACTCACATATTGCTGAGCAGCAATAGGCAACAATAAAAACACATAAAAAACAAGTGACCGACCGCACCAGCCCAACAAGACGAAGAAGTAACCAACCACGCCCCGCACCCACCGCACCCACAACAACAACGATTGGAACAACAACGGTATGAGCCGTGCGCCGCCAAGGTCCAGCAACCTCCTTGGCTTCGTCGCCTACGCCGCACGAGGGCGGCGCCGGGACTGAGGGGTTTGCCCAAGGAGCGGCGGGAGGACACGCGCGCGTCCCCATAAAGCAGGGGGGGGGGGGGGATGCGGGCGCAGCGGCCGGGGAAAACGCGGCGCGGCGGTGGCAGCTACCATTGTGGCGCGAGTGGGTTGCGGCATGGGGTGTGGGGGGGGCGTTTCTTTTTTTTTTGTTTTTTGCTAGGTCATTTCCAGCCTCTGCTGTTGCACCATTTTTGGCAGCGGCCTTGTGATTAGTGCCTTTGGTTGCTGCGTCGCTGTTCATATTTGATCTTTCGCTTTCCTGTTTTTTTTTTTTTGCAAATGCACTGTTTTAGTACGGTATCATCGAGAGCCTTCCGAATGCTGCGGCGGACATATCTGCGTGTTTTTCGATCATCGACGCATACTTTTGCAAATTGTGTACAACAATGGAAAATAGATGAGGTTGTTCGCGTAGATCAGGCAGGAGAAGTGGCGGCCGTCCGGATTTGTAAGTATCAGCTTTTTTGGACGTCTCCGCTCGATGCTTCAGTTTCGGTAGTAAAGGAAATATTGAAAGATGAAGTTGTTCATGAAAGGACAATGAATGACCTAGCCGCGAAACATTCTGTGAGGCTTACGGCGCTGGATCCAATTTTTCATTTAGGTGCCTTTGCTATGGGTACTGTTACGGCCTTTCTTGGTAAAGAAGCAATGATGTGCTGTCATGCTGCTGTTGAAATTACCATTGCAAAACATTATAATGACCAACTCCGTGAACTTGAAGCACTAGAACATGCGGAAACTGCTTTAAAAGATGATGATGCTAAGGCCTGGAACGAAGTTAAGGATATAGTGGTGAAATTTAGAAATGAGGAGGAGCATCATCAATATCTTGGTGAGACAAATGGAGCGGATCAGGCTCCAGCTTACCCTATTTTATACAATGGAATACGGTTAGCATGCAAAATGGGGGTTGCTCTAGCGAAAAAGATTTAAACTTTGTACCGAAAAACTAGGCATAAAAAGAAATGAAACAAAATCAAACAAAGGAAAACATTTAAAAAAAACTGTGCTATTGAATCTTATTTATGCTTCTAGATATATAATCTACCATGCTTACGCAGCTGTTTTTTGCTTCGTTTTTTTTTGTTGATTATTGTAAGCATTTAACAAGAAAATGGGCACGTGTCCTCAGAACATTATTGATGCAGTTGCTGATTGTAACAACAAGGTGAAGAGTCTGCAAACGGAAACCGAGTTGCAGGCAAACCAGACACGCATTGAATACAGAAAAAAACTTGAGCTTTTATTTGAGCGACGACAGGAGGACCTTGACAAAATAGAGGGATTCTGGAGTGGTGTCTTGGCAGCTACTGATACTCCATTAAAACCGTTGTTTAATGGGACAATTGACCCCAAAATTGTTCGTGCTATCACGTCTTTTAAGGTAACAACAAATGTGAAGGATGGCTTACTCTGCCGAACCGTTTCTATCGTTCTTCGTTCCAATATGTTTGCAGAACAAGGAACTATTTACCGCGAGGTGGACACTCATCTTAAGACGAATTCAATGGAACCCATTAAGTGGAAGTTTGGAACAGAACGCGCGCGCCAGGACTCTCTTTTTAGGTTCTTTACACCCGAGTGTAATGACAATGATTTTATTGATGAAGTCTTGGACGCATTTGATACGGTTTTTCAGAATCCATTTCTAGCACTTGATCTCACTGAAGATTAATAATTAAACATGCGTTTTGAATAAGATAAACTGATTACTAATTGGAGGTGGGACTAGTATGATACTAGTAAGCTGTTCTTGTTGAGTTGGTTAACTTTTGCATTTTCTTTTGTTCTTGTCGGCTGTGAGTTAATTCAGTACACTATCACTCTTTGCAGTTGTCTCTGTTTTTTTTTAAAAAAGAGAACTTTATTAGCGATATGCAATCGCTTCGACCACGCACACGCTATGTTGAAAGCATCCTGCATGATGTCGGCGCATCCCTTCGTCAGTTTCAGGGCTCTAACGGTTTGCGGTGCTTATTTGATCAAGGTAAGCTTTCTCTTTTGTCTGCAATGGGTGAGTTCAAACAAAGCAGCGATGCTATCTTTGACACCCGCATGAAGGTGGTTTCACAAACCCGTGTTTCTATACTGAAATTATCCGATTATTATGCAGCTGTTGGGAAAACTGTTGAGACCTTGTTTCTTCAGATAGATGACTTGCTTTCAGAGCTGTATCATTTTAAAGAAATTTGTGAAAATCATTTAGAAATGACAAATGAATGTGCTTCTGAGGACGCCGGGTTTGGTTCCATTAACTCGATGAAAATCAAGTTAGGTGCTTTGAGCCGAGAATTAGTGAGTGATATTAGGACTAATTGCTGCGGGATACAGGCTTCTTCACTTGAGCAAATTGATAAGATTTATATGTCTGCAAAATGTGATGTTGGAAGGGCCCAAACTGCGTTTGATGTTAAGCGAAGAAATGCACAAGTTTATGAGGAGGAATTGTTCGTAACTCGTTCAAAGGGCTCTCAAAATCAGGTGAAACAGATGGAGTTTAAACTTCATTCTTTGCTAGAACGCTTGCATGAAAGCGGTAATCAATATCATGATGCACTACGAGATAACATGAAGAAAACATCCTTCCTTTTGGAGCAAACCTCAATGACGACGTGGTCAGCAGCGAACGTATTTTTTTTGCAACTGGGCACATTTTTCAAGGATGCAATGAGTGGATTTGAAGTCCTAGTTGGAGCTTTCTCTTCAGTGAAGAACAATCTAGATGTTTCTAGACGAATAAATTTGGAGAAGCAAGCTGCTGCTGCTTCTGCCGTCGCAGCTACTTCCTTCTTTTACGCTACTGCTACACCACGACAAAACGAGGAAGAAGCTGGCCCAACCATGCCACTCACTCATGAACTAGTTGATCTATTTTCTCCTCAAAGGGATGATGGTTTTGCATCACACCTTAATCTGACGGAATACTCTGAAAATCAAGGCACAAGAGAGTTTTTTGATGTAGATGACCTCTTAAAATAATCCTATGTGATCTCTACCTGCTTTTCCCCATATACTATAGAACTTGATGTACCTTTGAGCTGTATAGGTCATGGTTGTTGCGTTTACTTTTTGTTTTATTACATGTGAAACGTAAAAAATTGGAATAATAATAATGATCTATTACTCTTCTCATCTTATTCCTAATGGTCTAGGCGTCAAAGAAAAAAAAGACGAAAGAAGGACGGGAAGTAAGAGCATGCTAAAGTTGTGGTTGCGTGAACCGCATCATAGCGATGATGAGGCTATTAAGCTTATGATTGATGAGGAGATGGATGTCTCCGACGTGCTTTTGAAGGTTCCTGAGCTCCTTCGAGTGCAGCAGCTTAAACCTTCAGAGATTCAGGCAGAGTACAATGACAGGGTGCTTTCTAATCGCATGGTTGTTTCAAGTGTTTTTGAGGGAAACAAGGAGGGGACATTTGTTATCCGCCCAAGGCCTGGTGTAGTTGTTACTCCGAACGGTGTATGGAAAGAATCCCCTGTTTCAAGAGTTTGTGGTGGTGGTAGAAGGGGCGCACCTTCCTCGTGTACCACCAACAGTTACCCTCCTCCTTCACCAAGACGAAATCAATTTGACAAGAACCATATAACAAATCCTGAGATGCTGAAAAGGACAGGCTCTCTTGGAGGTGACCGCGGAAGGCCTCCAGTAGCCAGAAGCACAAGTCGGGGAGCGACACCACCCCGAGGTGTTGGAGGGGGCACTCCAAGATGTAGGAAAAGTAATATTGGTGGATATCAAAATGAGGGAAACACACCAAATCGAACAGCAACTCCCAAGCGAGGTGCCTCAGTTCCCAGGTCCGATCGACAGCCAACCGTTCGTTCTCGGCATCTGGATCCAAAGAACGTGGCATCTCGTTTTCGCCAAGAGGCAGAGAAAGTCCGAGCGCCTTCAAAGAGAAATCAAGTAGAGGCTGTGTGTGAAAGTTTTAAGCCTCAATGGGGAAAGCCTCTTTGTGCCACTTGTAATCACCCAAGGCAAGCTCACTGGGAAGCCCAGAGAAGGAAGAACTCTGAAGTAGAACCCAATTCCTCATCGGAGATTGACGTCCCTGCGGGCGTCACCGCACAGATTGGGAGTATGACTCCAAATAGAAAGGTAATGGCTGCGATAGAAGTTGGCAGTAGCCAAAACCAAATGGTCGTTGCCAGTGCTGCATCGATCTCGGGACAGGAAGAGTGGTAACAGGAAACTGCATTTATGCTTTCACGAAAAGGCGTCTCTGTCTTTTTGCTTATTATTATTGATCTCTTTGATAGTTTTAATTTGGTTGCATATGTACGTGTCTTTAGCTCTTTGTGCAAATGACAAAGCTACAAAAGTGTGACGGCAGAGGCTTGGTGGTGTGTTCGTAGTATATGTGCGTATGCATGTTCGTATACCCTTCCTATCCTCTTCGGAGGATGAGTAGAGTAGCCTTGTGATCTATCTATTTATATCTTGTTGCTTTCATTGTTGTTGTTGTTGTTGTTGTTTTACTTGTAGCTTGTGCAACTCACTTTAAGAGATGAACAAACTAGGGCTTGTTTTAGATGCTGCTGCCGTGGAGAAATCCAAACTAGACCTTCAGTCCTATCAGATAAGAAACAATAACTCACTTCAGCTTCGAGCATTTTTGATAAATGAGTCTGGTATGTTTACTAACGATGGTAGAAAGTTGCCTTGTAGTGTAACGAAGGAGGATGTTGATGAGGCCTCCAAGAGGCTCATTGGTCGAGGGGCAAGTGGAGCTGTTTACTTTGCAAAAATGAAGGATGGGAGCCCTGTAGCTCTGAAACATATACCTATTACTTCTAAGCCACGTCGAGATGAAGTAGATCGAGAGCTATCCTTTTTCAGTTCTCAATCGCACTCACCTTTTGTCATGAAGAACTTGGGAGCTTTTTGGGATTCTGAGGAGGCTGCTATTGTTATACCCATGGAGTGGATGGCGTACACTCTAAAGGATTTGAGTTGTTTTTGGGAAGGCATCGAGGAGACTATACTGCGTGATATCTTTTTTCAAGTTGTTACAGGTCTGGTGTACCTTCACGACGTAAAGCGCGTGATACATAGAGATTTAAAACCGAGTAATTTGCTTATTCGGGATGATGGATATGTCAAAATTGGAGACTTTGGGGTGTCAAAACTTGTTCAGACACTTGATGTTTCTTCAACCTACGTCGGGACAATGTATTTCATGGCTCCAGAACGACTAGAACAAGGCGCTTACGGATTTAATAGCGATGTGTGGTCCCTGGGGCTAACTGTGTTGTCTACTGTAACAGGAAAGAACCCTTGGTCCCCTCCAGAAGAAATGAACATATTTCAGCTATTGGGTAGAATTGCTGGCAATACAACACCAACATTACCAAAGACACCCGCATACTCGGTGGAGGCTCACAACTTTGTGAAGGAATGTTTGATTAGAGATCCGCAGGAGCGACCGTCAAGCGCGGACCTCTTGAAGCATCCATTCTTTAAAGGTTGCACAGAGGCATCTGCTGTGGCTAACGTCAAACAGGGGGTTGATTACATGACTCGTCTGATCAACAATGATGCAAAAAAAAGTGCGTTATTGAAGCGATCTCAGGAAGCTGTCACAAAGGAGGTAAATGCTAAGCTAGATAGATTAGGGGATTTGTAGTATAAGTTCGTTGTTCCAGACTTTTTTTTCCTGTTGTTGTTCCTATTGTATTGTTGAATTGCACTGGCTTCATTTGTTTTTTTTTTTCCGACAGATTGTAGAAGGGATTCTCTGAATTTAATTGTAATTGGCAGGGTGTGCTAAAATTTCACATTGCCCGGCCCGCCGAAATATTGCCGCAAACGGCGCTTTTTGAACCCCAGCCCGACACGCCCTCAAATTTTTCTCACTGTGCCTGGGAAAAGGGGCACTGACACTTTCAGAAACATCACCTTTTTGCTAGCGCCCAGTGATTTATGGCTGGTCAGCGTTCCGTTGTGGAACCGCCCCTTTCGGGCGCAGCAGCCCGCTCTTCCACGAGGAGACGGGCGCAACTAAAGGAAGATAAACTGCGTTTTCTTTTCGTCTTCTCCTTTTTTTTTTTGCCAAAAAGCAGGATGTAGATTATTCTGAACTATGCTTTATCCGCCGCGTTTTTGCGTGCTCAGTTGCTTCATGGGCGAAGTTACGAACTAAGTACTTTGATGGCTCGTTGGAGGTTTTTTTTTTTTTTTTTTTGTTGGCTGTCTGTTTCTGCCCAATTGAGTAAGTGACCAAACGGGAGGTGGCTTGCTCGTGGCGCTCTACATCTACGTTGATTGCACTGAAGAGCTGCAAGTCACCAGAATCTGGCACTGAGAGGATATCTTACAACCGCAGTGAATTTGCAACAATTCATAGGCGTCCCGGTACGAAATGCTATCAGAAATGTCGTTGTTACTTAACACTGCCGCTGTTGCAGTCCCTCAACATGGCGTGGATGTGGATTCAAGAAACAGTTCAGACACTACTGCAAAGATTACTGAAGAGCCATGGATGAAGTTCATCGTGGTGAAAACGACTTGGAATTCGTTTTTTTTTTCTTCGTGCGTGAAACTGCTTCCTTATTCACTGAGGCAGGAAATGTAATTGGTGCAGAGAGCACATCACGCCGCTTATCTTTGCCGTGATGTGCAGCCGGTGGGCACAAGTGGCTCGCGGAAGGCTTTCCTGCTTAGTGGGCTTGACTAGTGAAGTGGAGATGCCGGTGCTAAGCTCACTACAAGAGCAGTCGTATTCTCTGGTAGGTAAGGTCCTTATGTGTTTCTTCTGTGAATATGGTTTCCATGATTCTTTCCAGCGAGATATACGCGTGCTACTGTGTTCTGCGAATTTATGTGGCCACTCGCTGCTTCTCAGACGTCTTTAGTACGTTTGGGCGTCAAATCGCCCGAAGTATGTCTTTTTTTCTCTTGTGGGAGCTGCTGGGGCTGCACGGGACTTGGGTGGCTGCCCTGCTCCTGGTGAAGGTTGGAGTCTTTCTCTTGCTTCGTGTTGGGTTACTGTGTGTGTGTGGGTAGTTGTACTTAAAAGTTTCTTAATCCTTGGTGGTTTTGTTATATGTTCACTACATTCCTCCCATTTTAGTTTTTTATTTATTTATTTTGCGGCTTCCTTTGCTTGAATGAAGGCGGTGACGCCCTGTGTCTAGAGTGTCATTAGTCATCTTGTATCTCACTGCAGCAGGGAAAGGCGCAAGATGACATCTATTCTGCTTATCAATGCATAGTTCTCTTGTTTTTTAATATTCCATTTGGTGCCTGTACTTCATTCTCTCTCTCCCAATAGAAAAATAGCTTTATTGACAGTTACAAGTGTAGTTGGATTGCATACATCAAGATCACATGCTGCACAGAGCTTTATTATTTCTTAACTCTGCGGCTCCGCTCGTCAAGTGCTCCCAAAAAGGAGCAGTGATGACATTGACATTAAATCGCCCAAAACAACTCAATGCCATGAATGCCGAATTATCGGATGCGCTGGCGGAAAATATGCTGAAGTGCGACGCCGATCCATCAGTGTCTGTTGTGATCATCACTGGCGAGGGGAAAGCCTTTGTGGCTGGTGCTGATATCAAAGCAATGGCAATTCAGACTTTTGTCGATTTCTACAAACACAACATGCTCAGAGGCCTTGAAATGGTTGCAACTGTTCGCAAGCCAGTTATTGCTGCAGTGAACGGCGTAGCCCTCGGTGGGGGCTGCGAGTTGGCGATGATGTGCGACATCATTATCGCCAGTGAAAAGGCCCTTTTTGGGCAACCTGAGGTCAAACTTGGGATCATTCCTGGTGTAGGTGGGACACAGCGACTCCCGCGGCTCATTGGAAAGAGCAAGGCAATGGAATGGGTGCTTACAGGAGACCAATACACAGCAGCGGAGGCTGAGCGCGCTGGGTTGGTTTCCCATGTCGTAAAACATGAAGAGCTTCTCCCAACGGCCACTGCCATTGCGGAAAAAATTGCTATGAACAGTACAGTAGCGGTGTCTTTGGCGAAGGACTGCATTAACAAGTCCCTGGGGGTATCCTTGGCGGAGGGTTTAGCTTATGAACAGCGTACCTTTCAAGCCACGTTTTCCACTGCGGACCAGAAAGAGGGCATGAAAGCGTTTTTGGAGAAACGGAAACCGAATTTTCAGAATGCATGAAAATAAAATCGCGTGCTGCGAATGCAACCGCGCGTGAAGGAAGGGGAATAGGTGAAGGCTGCAGGCGAGGCAGGTATAGCATGTCCTTTTTTTGTTTGTAATATATATATATATATATATACCGGATGCTTTTTTTTTGGGTTTTAGTGTTATGGGGTCAGTGTATTTCTGATTTATTTATTTGCCTTATTTTCTTTTGCGCGCTTTTTTTTGCTTGTTTGTTTCTGTTGACAATTGTGCGTCCCGAAAATTGACCAGATGGTTGGGATCGCGTTGGTGACGAGGTAACGTGCTGCGTATAGGAAGGTGCTGGGTAAGTGGATTTAATCTCCCTGAGTTTGCGTGATCTCTCTTTACTTCCGTTGTCTTTTTTTTTCTTTGTGTTCGTGGGGGGGGGGGGGGGATACGCATTTCAACACCGACGCCCACTCACACACACCCACAATTGGGAGGGAACAAACTATGTTCTAACATACATGCGAGGGAAGCACAAACAAAACTACGACAGCCAGAACAGATAAGGATACTCCAGTCCAATGTTGCCGCCTTTTAATATTGCAGACGAGGTGTGTGCGCATTGCTGGGATGAGTCCGTAATGGTGGTCCCACGCCCCCAGGCGGCG